ATACCATGGTTTGGGGCAGGCACACCTTAGACTTCAAACTGACAAATGTTGATAAGAGAAAAAAATGGAAGGTTGCTTAGTGAATGGGAAGTAAAGAGTGAATTTTTAGTTGACTGAAAAGGAAGATGTTACAAATTATCATTTTAGATGCACTTAGAACAAGTTCTCAAGAAGGTATTTTGGAAGTTGTATGAGCCTGTTTTGGTTGTCACAATTTTTTTAATTTGCTGGTAATATATAGTGGGCGGGGACCAGTAGTTGCTAGGTGTTTTGCAAAGCACAGGATGTTGTTATTAGGTCCCATTGAGTCAATTCCTACCGTTAGTGACTATGTACAAAGAGCAAAACTCTGCCCAGTCCTGCACTGTCCTGGTAATTAATGCTGCATTCTAACCCATTATTGCAGCCACTGTGTCCATCCATCCTGTTGAGGATCTTCCTCTTTTTTGCTGACTCTTTACTTTTCTTATCATGATGCCCTTCTCTAGGGACTGGTCCCTCCTTGATAACATGTCCAAAGCACATGAGACAATCTTGCCATCCTTGCTTCTAAGGATCATTATTGCTGTGCTTCTGAAAAATGGGCAAGAAGGGTGACATCCAACCTTCTTTGACTTCAAAAAGAGGAAAATCAGCATCAACTTGGAGCTGAATTTTATGTGCCTCCAGCCTTCTTGTCTTTCTCTACCAAATTTGACACCAACCATTCCTCCCCATCACTCTACTCACTGCAATACTCACAGAAAATTGAGATAATACTCATGAATATGGAGTTTATTCAGGAAGTTAACAGGCTACAAGTCAGGGTCAGAAATGCTCAGGACACAGTTCTTCCAATCATGACGGCCACTCAGTCATGCCCCCACAAGGCCTTTCTCTCTCTGACCCTTGGCCCTTTGACCTTGTTTCTGCCCTGCTTGGGCAATGTTGAAAGCTCTTTAGGGCTGCTGAGAATTCCCAAAGGACACTCCACTGTATTATAGGCATTTGGCTTTAGTTCCATGGGTCAACAATTAAGTGCCTGGAGGCACACCACTCCACAAGGGAGTCTCTATGCAAAGGCTTTCAGCTTTACTTGCTCTGGGGGCTGGGAAGCCCACTGCTCTGTCTTGTGCTCTGTCTCTTGATTCTGCTGCTGTTGCTCCTTTACCACTCCTCCAATGTCACAACTTTCTGTTCCTGGATAGAGGAGGTCTTGGGGTCTAAAGGACTCATTCCATTCCCATCTAATTGTAATGAGATTTTCTTTCTGCTTTTGTGAAGTCTTATTTTAAACCTAGCAGGATGGCAAAATTGACCAATCCCCATGTTAGATTTCTAAGTTTTTAACAATCACAATTATCCCTGTTGACAATCATTCATAGCTGAATCATATCATCCTATCTGCACCTTCTCACCCAGACCCATCAGGAAAAAGTATTGCTTGGTGGGAGGTAAAGACTGGGTAGTGGTAGTGGTTGTGGGCTTCAAGTTGGTTCTGACTTCATAGGGATGCTATGTTGTTGTTGTGTTGTTAGGTGCCATCGAGTCGGTACTGACTCATAGGGACCTTATGCACAGCAGAACAAAACACTGCCCCATCCTGGGCCAACCTCACTATTGTTGACACGCTTGAGCCCATTGATTCTGCCACTCTGCCTGTTCTCCAGCGACTGCTTCCTCCTGATATAGGTATAGGATTTCTGATGCTGTAAATCTTTACAAGAGTAGTAAGCCTCATCTTTCTCCCACTGAGTGGTGGATTTGAACTGCTAGTCCAATTTATAACCCACTACGGTAGTGTAGTGGTTACGAATCAGGCTGTTAACCTAAGGGTCAGCAGTTCAAAACTACCAGCTGTTCCCCGGGAGAAAGATGAAGATTTCTACTCCTGTAAAGATTTACAGTCCTGGAAACCCTGTACAGGGTCATTATGAGTCGGAACCGACTCCACAGCACACAACAACAAAGCCACCAGAGCTCCTTACAAGTTAGGGTAGAAGAGCTGTGGTTGTGGTGGTGTACTGTGGAGTCGGTTCTGACTCATAGCAGCCCTGTATAAGGTATCTGAGGCTATAAATCTTTAGGGGAGCAGATAGCCTTCTCTTTCTCCCAAGGAACAGCTGGTAGTTTTGAGCTGCTGACCTTGAAGTTAGCAACCCAACTCATAACCACTATGCTACCAGAGCTCCTTTAATGCTCTATACTTTTTAGAACAGATTTGTTCATTTTGGAAGCTCATGGTGTATTTAATGGTTTTTGCCAACATCATAATTCAAAGGCATCAACTCCTTGGTCTTCCTTATTCACTGTCTGAATGAATATGAGATTATTAAAAATACCATGACATGAATCAAGTATATGTTAGTCTTCAAAGTGACATCTTTGCGTTTTAATCCTTTAACGAGGTCCCTGGCAAGAGATTTACCCAATATAATATGTTATTTCATTTCTTGACTGCTGCTTCCATGAGTACTGATGGTGAATCCTAGTAAAATGAAATCTGTAACAACTTCAATCTTTTCTCTGTTTATCATAGGTCCAGTTGTGAGGGTTTTTATTTTATGTTGAAGTGTAACCTATCTTGAAGTCTGTAGCCGTTGATCTTTATCAATAAGTGCTTCAAGCCTTTTCCCTTTTAGCAAGCAAGGTTGTAACATCTGTGCATATATTGCTGTGTTCTTCATATAATCCATCTTCCTGGATTATCTGTTCAGCACACAGATTGGTAAACATAGTGAAAGGATACTAACCTGCACACCTTTCCTGGGTTTAAACCACGCAGTATCCCCTTGTTCCTCAGGAGCACAATTAAAAGTGTTCTAGAATTCCCTTTTCCATAGTATACATAGTTGATTTTTATGAGCTACATAGGTAGAATGCCTTTACATAGTCCATGAAACAGGTAAATATCAGCAGTGATATCCAATATACATTCTCTTCTGAGTCTTGACTTCCTGACAGTCCTGTCGATGCTCTGCCATATAGTGTTGCAACCATTTTTAAATTATCTTCAGCAAAATTTTATTTGGGAGTGATATTAATGATAGTTTCATACAATAAAGAATGGACCAACATAATGATCAAATAAATGCTGAATGGTCATGTAGGAGAATTAAATATAGTAGCATGAATATAAAAATATTTCTTATAAAAAGGATTATTGGAGTTGATCTGATTGAAAACCACTAGTTTCATATCAAAAGTTCAATAGAAACTAATATTAATAACAGAATACCATTCCACAGTGAGATAGCTCAAAGGAATGTCCTAAAAATGTCAAGTGCCTGGTTGAGTGGAAGAGAGACTCAATTCTCCCCGTATACCAAGCCTTAGTAAGAGTAGACCTTATTTCTGGGAGGGAAGGTAGGAGGCTTGCCTGTTGCTCTCTCTCATACGGTATTTCCTTAGTTGATTATCAGATTTAACTTTGCAAGCTTAGTAAAGTTGTCTGGATCTAAAAGTGTTCATTTCTTTAGGTTTTAACAATAGCTAATGATTTTACCAAATACCCCAACGGGTGCTAATTTATGTGCTTATTGTCTTGCTGTGTTTTGTTGTGAGACCATGACTATGTAAGACATCCTAGAATCTATCTTGGTAGAAAAATTAACTTGCAAAATTAAAGACTCTTAAAAGATCGCCTGACTGGTAGGTCTCTCAGGGTATTTCTTTCAACCCTGAAGATCTGTGTTGTTGTCAGGTGCCATCGAGTCGGAACCGACTCATAGCGACCTCATGCACAGCAGAATGAAACAATGTCCGATCCTGGGCCAACCTCACTACCGCTGCCACACTTGAGTC